CGCAGACTGCAGCCAGTGGTATCCTGCTTCAAATCGGCTGGCGGGCTCGGAGGAGAGCGGGCCGAGAAACTGGAATGACTGATGTGGTCCTCCTGATGGATGATCGAGCCGACTCCGGTGTGTGTCACCCTCCGCCGGGTTTCTGCTTGTATCATCCGATTGATGCCAGTGGCAGTATATAATGCGTGTTTGAGAATAACGTTAGCGTTAGATGATGTCTTACTAAGAAGAGTAAGAAAAAGAAAAGACTCAATTCCTCGTTTTGTGTCTTCATGTCCAGCAGTTGTGCGTTGTTCACATGGGTTAAGGTATGGTGAGTTGTGTCATCGTCCGCGAACAGTGGCTTAGGTAGCTTACAGTGGCTTACAGTAGCGCCAATTGCCACAGTTTGATCGACCAGCCGGATTGGGCATGACCGAAAGAAATACCAGCCAATCAGAGAGCGGAGCGCTTGGAACGGTAGTTGTGCTGGGAATGCTACTTGCGGTGGGAATGCTAGTTGACATATCAACGGCAGATTGTATCCCTGGAATGCGAAGTATCATACCCGCCTGGTGCATTTTCCCATTACGGTAGTTAGAACTCGAATCTGAGGAATATTCTTGCATCTACACGGTAGAGGCACAAATGACAGACACGACAATGCAAATACCAGGACCGCCGGGCTACCCGTTCGTGGGGAATGCGCTCGAAGTCGATAAAGGGCTTCCTCTGCGTTCTTGGCAAGCTTGGGCCGATGAGTACGGTAAGAATCATGAGTTCCGTGTACAAGCACATGTGACGGACATGGCTCACGAGCATCACAGGAGAGATATTTCGTGTGACTTTTCCCAGCGGGTCAGCAGTGGTAGTGGTGAGCTATTCTTAGCGACAGCCTGCTCCTCAATCTCATCGCACTGACACGGAATCCTAGAGCTCGCAAAGACTGGTTCACGAGCTTTGCGACGAAAAACGGTTCCGGAAATCCGTCGCGGGAGCGATGAACGAACTCCGAAATGGCGTCCATGACGGCCTCTTCACGGCACGCGAAGGCAAGGCCAACTGGGCAATGGCCCACGGAATTTTGATGCCCGTGTTTGCACCTGCGTCGATCCAGGGCATGTTCGATGAGATGCATGAGATCGCGTCGCAGCTGGAACTCAAGTGGGCGCGGCATGGCCAGACACGCCCATCATGGTCACGGAAGACTTCACGCGCCTGACACTCGATACGCTCGCCCTATGCACCATGGACTTCCGCTTCAACTCGTACTACCACGACGCTCTGCATCCCTTCATCGCGGCTATGGTCAACTCCCTGACCGAGTTGGGTGCACGGGCCGTGCGGCCATTATTAGCGTCCATCTTTTACCGCGAGGCGAACCGCAAGTATTGGGAGGACATCGGGACTTTGCGGCAAACGGCCCAGGGTATCCTGGACTCGCGGAGGAGACACCTTACCGGGCGTAAGGACTTGCTGTCGGCGATGCTGGACGGTGTGGACCCGAAAACGGGCTAGAAACTCATGCGACGCGTCCATCATCGACAACCTCATCAACTTCCTTATTGCTGGTCATGAGACAACCTCAGGCCTGTTGAGCTTCGCCTTTTATTTGCCCATAAAACACCCAGACGCATATCAGAAAGCCCAGGACGAAGTGGACAATGTAGTAGGAAAGGGCTCGATCCGGTTGGAGCATATCAAAAAAGTAGGTACTTTCTCGCCCGTAGGGTTCCTTTCCGCATCCGACGGCTGACCCTTCAGCTCCCTTACATCGCAGCTGTTCTCCGCGAGACACTCCGGCTCTGGCCTACAGTCCCCCTAATCGTACGCTCGGCTAAAGAAGACGGAGTCGTTGGCGGCAAGTACTTTGTACCCAAAGGCCAAAACTTCTAGCTCTCCTAGCCCGGCCCCACGTGGAACCCGTTGTTTACGGCGAGAATGCCAGGGACTTTGTTCCGGACCGCATGCTTGACGAGAACATCGAGCGCCTGACCAAGGAATATCCCGACTGCTGGAAGCCATTCGGTAGCGGCATAGGGGCCTGCATTGGCCGCCTGTTTGCCTGGCAGGCTTCTCCCGCCCGAGGAGACGTGAGACCCATGAACATCTTCTACGGTTCCAACAGGGGACACTTACAGCTCTCGGGACTCCGCCGAAGAAGCACATCAATATCCAGCTGCCCGACGGCATAACTTACAAGGTTGGCGACTACGTCGCCGTACTTCCGTTCAATCCCAAGGAGACCGTCACCAGGGTCATGCGAAAGTTCCAACCCTCTTGGGACTCACACATTACGATTGGCTCCAACAGGTGGACTGCGCTGCCGACGGGCACCCCGATTTCAGTGTACGATGTGCTGGGGTCGTATGTTAAGCTGTCACAGTCAGCAATTAGGAGGGTAAGCACATAAGTAACCAGCCGGATTGCCCTTGAAGACCTTTGCTGACAGATTGCCAGGGCATCTTGCTTGCCGACGCATCCAAAGACGAGGCAACGAAACAGCAGCTGCATACCCTCGCGGGCGACTTGTACGCGAGCGAGATCAGCCTCAAACGCGCATCCATCCTCGACCTGCTCGAAGGGTTCCCCTCCGTGTCCCTTCCCTTCGGCACCTTCCTGTCCCTGCTCCCACTGATGCGCTTACGGCAGTACTCCATCTCCTCGTCGCCCGCCATCAACCCCACTCGCGCAACGCTCGCTTACAGCTTGCTCGAGGGTCCCGCCCTCGCCAACCCGGCTAACAGACACATCGGCGTCGCGACCGCGTACCTCGCGTCCCTTCTACGGGGGGACAGGCTGCTCCTGTCAGTGCGGCCCACCCACACCGCATTCCGCCTGCCAGACGAGATTGAAAGCACGCCCATCATCTGCGTGGCTGCCGGTTCAGGCCTGGCTCCCTTCCGCGACTTTTCCCAGGAACGCGCCGTGCTGCGTGCCAAGGGCAGAGAGCTCGCCCCGGCGCTGCTCTTCTCTGGCTGCTGCGGACCAGAGGTGGATGATTTGTACCGGGACGAGTTCGATGAGTGGCATGGCATGGGCGTGGTGGATGTGCGCAGAGCGTTTAGCCGTGTCGAGGGGGTGCAGGCGTGTGCACGACAGGCTATGGCACGACAGGGAGGAGGTTAAAGGGTTGTGGGAGTGTGGGGCGCGGGTCTATGTGTGTGGCTCGCGGCTCGTGAAGGAGGGGGTCAAACAGGTGATGGGCAAGATTGTGTTGGGAGGTGGGGCCACCGAGGATGAGGTGTCCCAGTGGTACGAGAGCGTGCGGAATGACCGGTATGCCACAAATATGTTTGACTAGAGGAGACGAGGGCAAGTTTGTTGACCGTTTCAAGAGTCGACATGCGATCCGACCCAACCGCTTTCTTGTTACCTCGCAGCGCCCGTTGATACGTAGCCTCGGCCTCCTTTAGCCGGCCCTAAGCCGCGTAGAGGTCCCCCAATTGATGAATCGCGGTTCTTGCTGCTGCCTCCTCCAATCCCGCCCCCGCTACCGTATATCTGCACCATCCGCCACGAGACTCTCTCCGCATGCGGAAGCAGCCGCCGCTGTAGTACCCACCAGTCCTTCATGGTGCTGCTGGGTACCAACCTGCCGACAAGAGCTACGGCCTGCCGGAGGAGCTCCCTCTTCTCGTCCCCCATTTGTATATGCAGTGCCCACCTATGCACAACCCGATGCATCAAATAGGTTCTGCGTACGGATTCCTGTGCCATGGGCTCGCCATGATGCTAGCCGTTGACGAGCTAGAGAAGCGGTGGGGCTCGCGATGGCGCCTACATAAAGAGAGGCAGCTCTTCTCCATGCGGAAGGTCATCATAGACGAGGTTGTGCGGCTCGCCGGCTCTAGGGCAATCAGCAGCACGGGCCAAGGACACCGACAAGGACGAGGTTCGCATTGCGATCATAAACGCTAAATAACGCTTTGGAGACCGCTGGGCGCTTCCTAGTGCCGCAATGCAGCTGTCACTACAGAGTCACCAACACAACGTCAAGACGATGTGTAGCAACTTCCGTTCTACGTTTGGTGGTGAGTTCCTGGTTTCCAGTTGGGCAACGCCGGGAACTAGTATTGGACTCTATTAATTGAACACGGCAGACGACGAGATCAACGCTCTTGGCATAGACGAAATGAAATTCGATACCGACTCTGGACAACTCCCTGAACCGAAACTGTACCAGGATATAATGATGACTCTCTATTTTCAAGTCAAAGTCATCCGAGTTGCTGATGCAGACATTGCCCAGCTCGAGGGTTTATTTGGGCAGCTCTCTGTTACACCTATTACCAGAAGCGTGACCGTGCCCACGAACCAGCTCGGGGGAGGAACTTCTACGTCGACAGAAACAGAATCGTTGCGCAGATGAACGGCCCCACCTGGAAGGCCAAGTCGCAGCAGGTGATTGTGTTAAAGAGCATGATATCCAAGTTGGAGGGGATCTCGGGGACGGGGTCACGTACCAGCGGACGCGGGTTGGGGTGAACGAATAGGCGACATGATGCACGAGGTAGTACGGGATATGAAGGCGGTATTGGGCGACTTGCTAATGGTGGGGGGAGACGATTTCGGCACAGTGCCAGCTTCGAATGGGCGCGGATTGAGGACGACCACAGCGACGACAGGGTGGATGATTTACATGTATTGACTGGCAAGTCTGGCAGTCGCTTTTGATTATTCCACGGCCCACCTTATGGAATAAGGTAATGAGTTTCTAACATCACAGCAGCATTCGCTATAGGAATGCGATGCACGATTATCGTCATGCTAATCGGGGTGATGGCAAATCGCTGTAGAAGAGAGCCTAAGTGACAGCTTTACAAACCAGATTTCCTTCAATGCCTTCCTAACAAACTACTGTAGTTATGAATAACACGGCCTGTTGCCATTCATCTAATTATCCATCAACCTTCACCTTGGTCACACCCGTCTCCCCGTCCGGTGCCATCTGCCTGAACATGCTCATGGGATCGAAAAACACCTCAACCTTTTGCAGCTGCAGCTTGTCATTGACCTCAGCCACCGCGATGCCCTCAATATCGATTGGTCCTCCATGCGCCTTGATCGTGACCTTTTCGCCCTTGCTGCAACACATACGAAAACCCTCCATCAGCACTCGTTCGTATCAAAAGCCACAGCAAAAAAATCAACAAGACGGGAAAAGAAAGGGAAAAGAAACATACTTGTTAGTCCCCGTATAATCCTCCTTCATAGTTCCCCAATGCCGCCAGCGGAACGCGACCTTGGGCGGGCCGGCGTACACCTCGAGCACCTCCCAGGCGAACGTGGGCATCATGCGCTTGAAGGTCTTATGTGACGCGTCAAAGGTCGACCGCACGGGACAATAGTACTCGTTGGGCTCGATGATGGCGTTGTACGTGCCGACCTGCAGCATGTGCTCGGCCGACTGCGGGGCGCCGCCGTTGACCGAGAAGGTGTAGGTCGACCGGTCGATGGTGCGCCAATCGTCGAGCGACACCTTGTAGCTGGCCTCGATCTCCCAGTTCTTGACGAGCTTCTCGACCAGGTCCGGGAGGGAGCCCGCTTGATGGGAGCTTCGCTTGGCTGGCGGGGTGTGTTAGTGAGACTTGGACTCTCACGGGGGGGAAGATGGGTCCAAAAAAGAAGGGGGCGGGAGGTGACACACTCTCAGACCAGATCTTGCGCGTCTTGCTGTAATCGGGGGCTCGGCCATGGCGCCAGTTGACATCGATATCCTTCAGCACAGCGTCGGCGTCGAGGACATAGTCCGGCAGCCCCGGAGTCTCAGTCTCAGCAGTGGCCATCTTGGTTCGTGAATCGAGAGGGAAGCAAGTTCCGGATGCTTATATGGCCCTTGTGATTTTGAAGTTGTGAAACCTGGTCCGACAGAAGCAACTTGAGCAAGTTCGAGGGTCACATGTACTGCAGAGTCTAGATTCAAGAAACAAAACGAAAGAGGCAACACCGATCAGGACGACGGTTCCTTGTCCGCATTCATATGCAATCCTCCACTGCCTACCTCCCGTCAGCTGCCTGAGTAGGTACAACGGAATCATGGATGGGTCCTCGCGCGGCCCGTTGGTTCCAACTTCTTCTCCCGCTGCATACCAACCCCTGATCCCCGTCGCCGAGCTCTCCGGAGGGTGGCCTGGATGCACATGGTTCCCTGGGAGTAATAAAGCGGGACCTTCCTCAACACTTCAGTGAAACACCCAACAAGCAAAAACAGACTTCAGGCGGGGTATAGTGCATTGGAATCCATGCGCCACTTGACAGAGTGGAGGTCCAAGACTGCAACTGGGTGGCGAGGCAGAAAGAGATCCGTATATAGGGGTATATGAGGTATGCGAACCCCTATTTCTCTGCGTCCTCGGCATCCAGGACCTGTTGAGCGATTGGCCGAGGGCCCGCTTCCTGATACTTCGTTGATGCAGTCCATGCCCACTGCAGCTTACACATGCATATGTGGGTGGTGTTCGGTTAAACGGTTGTACCGTGAATGTGAGAGAAAGCCTCGGAAAATGGGGGGTTTCGGCTGGCTCGAACAGTCCAGAAGATCAGGGTCCAGACTGGGGGGAGGCACCAGGTATTGTATCCGTAAAGTATCTGCCAGGAAGAAATGCCACGCCGTATTCCAGATAGTGCGGCAAAACTCTGCCAGAACTTAAAGCACCTCACAGCCCGCCGGGCATACTCGAGTCTCAGGCCGAGAAGCATCCAGGCGGCACAGCACACCCGGCCCACAACAACCCAAAGGGTGTTGACCCGGATGTTTCCCTCCGCTGTACAACAAAAAAAATGCTCATAGGTAGCTCAGGGAACAGCGACCATATTCATCTCTGCCCAGCCGGCTTAAGCGACGGGGTCAAAGTAACACCAGACAGAAAACGCACCTTCACACGAAGTCCTCCAAGGCAAGCGTCACGAAAAAGTAGGCGGAAAAGGGAAGATGCGAAGATGATATGAGACTCCTTCCAACGGCGTTACACTGCATGCAACAGCGTTGCACCGCGTGCCGCTAATTGCGACGCTGGTGGGGAGCCTACATGCAGGAAACAACGGCGGGGTGCCGCCCCCAGCCCCTTTTTAGCGCTGCGACATCGATCTCGCAGGGGCCCGAAGCCATGCAAAACATGTGTCCTCCTGTCCTCTGTCCAATCCAAGGACAGGGAAAACAAATCGCAGTGTGAGAAAGATCCCTCACATGGCCACGATCGTCTGATAAAGCTGTTTGGTAAGGATTGCCGGGTATATCTGTTGGAAAGGAGCCGCTGATTGCCATAGTCGTCCTCCTCCACTTCTTTGCACCTTTCACGATCCGCCGCCAATTTGAATCAGGTAGTCTTCAAAATCCGGTCCGTCTGCTTCGTCATGTGGCAAGGTCTTTTTGATATTAGTTGCGTTCGTGAAACTGTCACGCCCCGTTGATGAAACGTCGCCGGACCCTGAGAAAAGGAGTCGTACTGATGGATTCCACCATGAGATCTCAACATCATCCTCCGTTTCCGCTGCATGTCCACGGCCCAGATTCGTAAACACACTGCCGCAAGTCAGATGGCTGAATCCACGCGCCCGTGTTCACTAACTTCATAACCGTAGCTGATACTATTCGCTGGAGGGTAATCAGGAATCCTCCTTGCTGAAGAGGACATGGGGGAGCGGCGGGCCTCCACGATTGTGAGAATTGCCGCTGACTCGGTTCAAGCCGTCCACGAAAGAATCAACGGCGTCGTCCGAGACTAGGTGCGTGCTCTTGTCACTTGCGTTCGCCCGGCATACCATACACCGGCTTGCCGGCGGCGTCTCATTTCATATTGTTCCGCCAGAAGAACTCGTTTCACGATACAAAAGACCGTGTTCTGACGCTGAAGATCGTATCCTGTGTGAGAGCGCATGTCATGGTGGGCGGTTCAATGATGGTATAGACCAGATACAGGAACGCAGACGTATGACGTATTAAGTCGTCGGCCGAGAGCGTTGGGTGGTTCCCGATCCAACTCGATATGCGGGCAACGGCTTGAAGGTGTAATTCCTGGCGTTGTCGGATAAGTGGGGGTGTTGAAAACGGGCCTCAGACGAAGCTGGCCGTAGGCCGCCCACATCAACATCTGCACTGAAGGAAGCTGGATGTCATAAGCGCTGGTCAAGGAGAGCCGAACGGGTGCCAGTTAAAACGATCCGGGCGGACGTGGGGATTTCTGCTCCCATGCCTCTGCTCCATCCATCGTCGTGAAGCAAAGTATTTGTGCTTTCCCGACCGAGATTAAAGCGAAAATGCTGTTAAGTGACAGCGACTGGATTCGGAGACGTGTGATGCCAGTGAGTCCTGCAAGCCCAGCGTCCCTCGGGAGGGCGTCGTTGGTTTTTTTATCGCAATGAGTCTCGAACGCGTCTCCGGTCCAAGGCTGTGAGAACTCTGTCGTGCCGATGTTGCTTGGTGTAGGATAGCCTGCAACCAGGTCAGTAGTTGGCTCCTTGAAGAGAGGCGGTAAGGATTATTTTAACTGGAAATCAGGATCGTCAGTAAGGTACATCTGACGGCCACGGCCCTAACACTAACCGATGATGTGAACAATCCATAGGCAAGTTGTGCGCTGGTCGATTAGAAAGGATGGAGGACGTGGAGACATATTGACCAACGATCAACCCCTTTCGGAGACACATTGCGAATTCCATTGGAAGGAACAAAGAAACCAAGCGCAGATTTGGATTGCTCTAGACCAGTAAAACAGAAAACCGCAACTCTGGGTATCACCTAGATGAACAATACACTTATCCACCGGCATCTGCTTCAGTCGTCTTTGATCTCCACAATGCTCCTGCACATCTTGAGGAACCGCTCCCGGTACTCGTCCGGTGTGGTGGTGATACTCATGGGGCCGTGCTTGAATAAGACGTTCCAGAGATTGATTAGAAACGTCATGAACTTCGCATGTACCTTGTGCTTGGCCCAGAAAAAGTCCAGAATCGAGGCGCGGAAGATATACTTCCCATCGGTTGAAGTAACTCCCGTCCTCCAGGTCGGTGGCGAGGGGGGAACTGACGGCGGATTGGTAGGAACCATGCTTGATTCCGCCGGCGTGGGCATCGCGGTATCCGCCTGCTGAGGTGCGCTCATGCGTACCAGGAAAAGTGAATAATCCACAGCATTGTGCTCTGCAAGCAGCTTCGTGTCGGCTTCCAGGCTCGCGAAGAAGTCGTCTGCCTGCTCCCGACGGAGAACAATCTTGTCGTGAAACTCATCGGCGAGCCTGCTCTTGGTCGCCTCACTCGTGAGCGCGCCGCCAGCGATATCTCTCTCTGGATAGAAATACGAGGTCGGCTTCAGGTCCCAGTTCTCCCAATCCGCCTCGCCTCGTCTTTTGGCCTCTTCCCGCCCATACATGACGTTATCCATGACGATGTGGTGGGAGGGTGCCGAACGGAGGATGCGTCCAACGGACCAGCCCGACGCGCCGAGTAAGTCACAGATGCGGACCAGGAGAGAGCGGGGATGGGTCGCCATGTATTCAACATACGGTGTCAAGAGATCCTCGCTGAAGAATGAGTGTTCGGAATGCCGGGGGAGAGACTTGACGAGGTACTTTTGGTCGGTCGTGGAATAGAACGTCTTGAGACAACAGCATGTCAGCTTTGCATGAGGTGAAGCAGAGAGACTTGGCTCAACCCACTGAACCAGAGAAGCCCATATCTCCAATCGCTTTCAGGGACTCGCCTCCAGCCCTGCCTTCGTCCGTCCGAAAGGATGTGGTGTAGTCATCGTCACTGACGTCCCAATAGTTCCGGCGTAGATTTGCGAAATCTGCCGGACGCACTTTGCAGAGCACCAGTTGGTAGAGAGAAAAGAAGGCCGAAAAGAGGGCGAGTAGGAGCCCAAGTGGACCGCTCGAGTGTTTGTTGTTGGCACCGTTTGTCTTGACAATTGCATGCACGATCGACCGCGCGATTTTTTCCTGTCTGCCCATCGTCGCAAACGGGCCCCGGAACCTGGAATACTGCGTTGATTGCAAGCTTTAGTGGAGCGAGTTATTCAGCGTCGCGTGATGGAGTTGGGGACTTGGTTTCCGGTTGATAAAGCATCGCCGATGACGTCAATGGTCTCGGCCCGTCGCCGGGTGGGGGCGGCTTTGAGCCGCATTCGTGGCCCACTAACCCCACCCTGCAACGACAACGCTTCACATCTCCGTAGAGAGAATTCCGGGCCGGATGCTTTAGCTGTATGGGGTAGAGCTTGTTCGGCTCTCTCTGCACAAGCAACTAAGTTGGAGGCACTTACCCAATCCTGATTTCCCTTCCTGTTCCATCACTTCAATCTTGAGGGCGGCGGCACGCTGGCCGAGTCGACTCCAAACATTTCGAGAACTCATACAGGGTGATGTCAAGACAAAAAGTGAACATGCACATACCTCGAATGCTCGTCCGCAATGCTCGTCCGCACGCGTCGCGTAATCATCCGGGCCCCAGGTTCCTCTTCCTCCCATACCGCCTCCTCCCTCCACTCTTTTATACCACCCCCCAATACTCCCAACCCGACCATCACAACATCCCAACCCACCCCCTACAGCATCCCAATCCACCCATTGCTTCCAAGGTTGTCCTAAGCGTCTACGAGAAAGATACCAGCCCCCGGTACTCGGATTGTCCTCCTCTTCAGAGCCTGTTCGCGTAGAAAAACGTTTCGTCGTGTCGATGGCGCCGACTCGAGCGAATTCGGGCCTGTTCCTCCCCACTAACCTGTGTGCGTGGGCTGTCCCGGATTCCAGGTATAGGTAGTATTCGTCCTTCGTGTAAAGTCCTATCCGTCCTTCGTGTAAGCCTGGTCGCATAGGCTGACGCAAATTCCCATGTAGTAGTATCCATTCCTCCCTACCAAGCCTGTTTCGCGTGGGCTGTCGCAAATTCCAAATAGTAGTCCACCGCTGTTCACTGCCCGTATATAGTTGATTCCCCCTTGCGGAGTCTTTTCGCATGAGTATGTCGTCGGCTCCGACTGGTACTGTCAGTGTTTTGTTTCTGGGAAAGGTCGAAGGCAGGAGCGCGACGGAAGCGAAGAAAGCTGGAACGTAAAAGACAGACTTACTTATTGACGTAGACTGAGTGTTTATCGGTATCCGCTTCTTGTTGATGTTGTTGTTGCTGGAATTGCCGTGTTCCTAAACGCGTTGCGTTTTGTTAGTGACCAATGCTCGGCGAAATGCGTGCCACAATCACGAATGCAGAGAGATGGCATCGGATGACGACTACAGCACGAGGCCGCCGGTGCCGTAGGGCCCCCACATGTGTTTGCCTCCGCTGGCGACGTAGCCCTGGGCCCCGTTCTCAGCCATGGAGCAGCCGATGAAGCCAATCCTGGGGTCAGTGGTGGCTGGCCGCTTGAAGAAGGGGATGGTCGTGGAGAGGCCGGTGAGGAAGGTCCGCTCCGAAACATGCCTTACATGCCTTACATGCCGGCAGCGGGAAAAGGGGGCAAGTGGAACTCAACACCATTGCATCCCTGTTGATGGGGGGTCTCAGTCAACTGCCTCAGGGCTAACATTTCAACTCCTTTTTGGCCACTAGTGTGATCTCATGCAACCCACGTGCACCCAGTGCGTGAAGGCCGGCCTCAAGTGCACGGGGCACGACACTCGACGCGTCTTCGTTGTAATCACGCCCGGGTGCCGGCAAGCAGGATACAGGGCCCGTGCCGGGGCCCGGACGCTCGGCATCACCGACCCCAGCCTCCTGGCACGGCCCGAGGATGAGAGGAGCATCATCAACCTGTCTCGGGAGGCCTTCTATCCCGCTGGACGTCCTCTCCCCGCCAGCGCCGTCAGGAGCTACACCTGTACTTGGGCTGAGACCGTCCGCAAGATGTAAGCCCCAATCGCGAGGACGAGCCCCCGCAAAATGCCGGGCGGCGAACTGTCTGGTTGTGACGGGCAGACGCCATGGCGGCGTCGAGCGGATGTTCAGGGAACCGTCGACGCTTTATAGGAAAGCATCGTGTGGTGTGAGGAACTCGTTGAGAACTTGAATGCCGCATGGCGCCGCAAGCGACGCGTCCATAGCGACCATCAGGTTGCTGTCTATGTTCGAAGCATGTACCTACCTAGGTAATTAGCTTCTTGCCATAACAGCTCAGGAGGGGCGAACCGAGATAACTCACTGATATCCCACCCCAATGACAAGCCCTCTCCCCGCCGGGAAATGAGCGGCAGCTCGCCCACGAAGCCCCGCGGCCTCACCATGCTGGCGAGCATGCTGGCGAGCTGGCCTTGTTCATCACGAGAACCCCAGCAGCACACCTCGACGGCGATGCACACCACATGTTCGCGGATGAAAGAATGGAGCTAGTGAGTGGTCTCCGTCTGTTGAAATATCAAAATCATGTTCGAATCGGTGTTGCCAGGTCCCCTAAACTCACGCATTATTTTTCCCATGTGGTGGTCAGATAGGTGGTTAGGCCATGTCTACACTGCTGCAACGCAAGCACCTGACGCTGAGTAATTCAGAGTGGAAAACCACCCCCTGGGCAGCAATCCCCAAGAACTTCAAGGACATCCCCGTCGACGTCCTGGTCGACATGCGCGGGCTCGTCCAAACCTATGACAAGATACAGTCTTGCACCGAGGCAAGCGAGCAGGTCGCGCTGCGCTTCCCCCTCGAACACAGGTGCTGGGAGCACGACAGGCAACTCATGACCTGGGCTCGCTCGCTACGCGCGACCCCGCCTCCGCCACGCGTCATGCCCGTCCCGAGGAGTCGCGACAGCTGCCCGCCGATCCGGCAGACCTAGTTACCCACGTGGCCCAAGTGCATGGCATGATCTTGTTTTGGACCACCTCCCTCGTGCTGGACAGCATTCCCCGGGTCGTCTCGGGACCGCAGGCCAAACCCCCCGAGCCCGCAAATCCGGCGCAGCATGTCCGCCGGGTCGTCGATGCCATCCCCATCCTCCTCCGCTCCGACGCGGAACTGTATGGACAACAAAGCGCGGCGGTCCCACTTGAGGTTGCTCTGAACTACACCACTGCCTTTGGCTCCTTGTCACACGAGAGCGGCGAGCTTGTCGAAGCTTTGAAAAGCCTGAAAGAGGAATGCTCAGGAAGCTCAGCAATGGCATCTTAACCACAGAATTTGATTGAGGGACGGCTATTTTGGTACATGTAGTTATATCATTGCCCAATGGCTGTACCGAGTTACCCCTGACTGTGATCAGCCGCTGGTAGTTTTCCGCTCGCCTAAAACGGTCGTAAGGAAACAATCAACCTCCGGCTTCTACGGGACCTTCTAGCATTGCCTGCATTCCCTGAGTGAGCCTCACCGTTTGCCCCTTCTGCCCCTGCGTTTCTCATTTATCTTCTGTTTCAATTTGTCGGCCTCAACGTTGCGCTCTGCTTCCCTGGACCCTGCCAGGCCTGCCTCAGACTGCTTTGCCTCGCCCCGCTCTGTCTCAATCCGCCTGTCGATGCTCTCGACGTTAGCGCTTAATGACTCCACTAGTTCCTCCCCATCGCAAACAAACCTGTATTCTGTTCATGACCTGGTCAGTCAAACCTGCCTAGTCCGAGTGTATCCATCTGACTTACTGAACAGTTTCGTGCCCGGTGCTGCATCCGCCTCCTCCACCTCAATTTCAGTGCGACCGGATCTCGTCAGAGAGCGGTCGTCTACGTTGCCAGTAGTACCCGGTTTTGACTTGACTCGCTTGTTCACAAGTTCTAGGACCTTCGATAGATCCTGTCCCGCCTTTTCTATCGTGAGCTTCACGATGGTCGATTCAATCTGATCCTGGACATCAGGCGATTTATTCATCTGCTCTCTCATATGAGCAGGTATCAGCGCGGCAACCGTCTTCCTGTATATTTGCAGCCGTCGTATCAGGGGTGCCGAAGCGTCGAGGCCGCCTACTGGCGGGACGCGAATCATGCACTTGAGCTCCCCGAAGGAGCCCTCGACGGTGGAGAGTTGGTCGAATCCAAACTTGGCGTATAAGCCAACTGCCGCTTGAGAAGCATAGGCGAAACCGATAGCGACATGCTTGTCCATGTATTCACAGGCTTCCTCAACCAGGCGTGAGCCTACGCCCAGGCGCCAGAATTTGGGCCGGACAAAGAGCTGGAGGACGCCTGCATGCGTTGGATCAGTTTGTGAAATATAAAGCCAAGAAAGAAAGGAAAGAAGGGAAAAAAGCTATGGAAAATAATAAAGATGAAGAAGAAAAAATGAGAAAAAAAAGGAAGAGAGAGAAAAAAAGAACATGGGAGAAAGCGTAGAAGTCTTGCTCATGGCAGATTAGGGTCGAGGGGCATCCACTTACGGCAAATGAGGAAATCGTCCAACTCCATGCGCCGATAGATGTGCTCTCGAGCCTTGTTCATGCCGTCACATAGCACCAGCCAGTACTCCATATCCATGGTGCTCGGCGCCCCCATGTCGGCCGGGGTGAGTTCTCCGCGGCGAAACAGTTTCAACGCCGTTTCCGAGTTCGCCTTGGCCTCTTCTGCCTCGCTGCCCCATTCAAAAAGGCACCTGATGTAGCCCACGGGCCAGTCCCCTCCGCCTTGAACATGGGCCCCGTACGTCGCGCCAGTCTCGGATTTAATATCTTCTTCCATCAGCCACAGGCCCTCGGCACACCACGTAGCGACCTCCATTCTGCCTATCTCCTCTTGTGTCCAAAACCCCGGCTGAGCTGGACCTCTGCGCAGGGAGGGGAAAAGATGGTTTGCGATGGTTTCCAGGCCCTGCATGAAGGCCGGTACCGCGATGCCGTAAGCAAGTCGAAAGGCGTTTACTTCTACTTCGGATGGGACGTATGCGTCGTCGCTCGTCACAGAAGGAGAGGAAGGGGCCGGCTCGTGGACGCCGCTGCTGTCGGCGACACTCCGGGTGCTGTCGGGGAGGGAGGACTCGGTTTGTCCCGACACGGATGCAGTTCTCGGGATTGGCTCGCCCGGCAGGGTTGCATTCGCCGGGGCCGATGCCGAGGTTTCGAGTGGGGAGGTTTCGCCTTGTCTCGATGCCTCCTCAACTTTCCCGGCTGTTTCCGGCGGGACACCGAATTCCGTCCGACTTGTCTCGGCTTGAGTGCTATCGATGTGGCGTTGGCCAGCTTCCGTCGTCACGGTGGTCAGGGTGGCCGCATCGATCTGGGTGCGCGTCCCAGTATGGCCGGCCCTGTGCGTTTCTGGGAAATCCTCAGTCTGCAAAGAGGCGTCGACGTATGGATTATGAGGTGCGTTCTGCTAGGACTCGACCCGAGTATTAGTCTGCGTGAAGGCCTCGACATATGGGATGTGAGGCGCCCTCTGCTGATAGGCGCTGGTTGGAGGGATCGCCCCGTGCACGTTTTCGGCGTTAGGAGAAGTGGAAAAACTAGAACAGGGCACAACTTCGTCATGGGTGAGCGTGATCCATGTGTCGGCGGATGCGTTGTGGCTGGCGGCATCGGCTTGTGCGTTGCCATGCTGTGCTTCGACGCCGTGGAGGTTGACGTTTGAAGCACAGTCCCGCCCGGACGAGGTTAATGTGAGAGATGGCATACTGAATATATCTACCGAATGGTATAGGAGTAGCGCTGGTCGGGTGACGAGTCGGAGGGATGGTTTTGGGGGATGGGGTGGATGTCAGGTTGTTTGGGTATGAAACGCGGTGATCGAAATCATTGGATTTTGTTTTGAATTTGAAATGGCAGGCACTCCCATTACTCGGTGGGAAGGACGCAGCTCACACAGTTCTGAGCCCAGCAACTTTAGTCAGCAGTCTTCTCCAAGGCTCGAGACAATTCAACGATTTGGATCATGTGGAAGATTGATTTGACCGCACCAAGCTGTGTTTTGAGGTCAAAAATTGACCTTGGACTTGATTTGATTAAAACTACGAATTGCATCTGTAGTTCAAAAACACACATACCCCTAACCCTGGTAAATCTTCCTTCCACCCATATCCTCAAGGTCTGCAACCCTCTAGCTCCCTGGCAATGGCAATGGTAATGGTTAGAAACACCCAGAAAGCTTTTTGGGTTTGCTGAAGAGAGCCTCTGTATCCTCGCGGGCTGTGCTCGGTTTGTAGGTGCCAAGATGAACTTGTATGTTGAGGGCATTGTAGTGCCGCGGCCACGAAGGAGACCGGGCAAATAACCATTTCAATTCAATTAGAATTGATGATAATTTTATTTGAACTGCCGGTCGATTTAGCTAAATTGGTCGTATGGGTGGTTGGATTGGTCAATTCTTAGTTGAATTGTTTGAAACCTTGGTTGTTGGCGGTAGTCTCATAATCTCGTTGCGAGTCCTTCTGAGTCCTCTTCACCTTCCCACTACAATCCCTACCAATCTCCCATAATTCCCGACCTCTGATTACCCATCTTATAATCTAGTAGGTCTACATTGCTGAGAGAATAGCGGGAAGTCAATGCTCGAGACTGAGCCTGTGAGTGCCTCAGGCTCATCTCTATGTTTCCTCAGGGGCTAGGGTTAGGGGCATCTACAGCCGCGCCACCACGCACGATTGGCCCCACATTCATCAACTTTCATCTCGACAAACAGGGGTTGATTCTCCAGCTTTGGCATTGGCCAAGTCCCCAACATGTCGTCTACTCTAACCTGGTTCTGTGCGATGGACACTGGGTTCTTACATAAATGCTGAGGGTGATGATGGAGGTCGCGCCTCCGATGCAGATCCGGCGCAAGCCGGTTGCCGCTCCATCGTCATCTGACTCGTCCCCACGCGCCGTTCCCTCCGACTCCCAGCAGAAGCCGGCGAGTGCGCAGGTCGGGGACAGGCTCCGGCCTGACCCACAGCCGCCATCAAGACCGGTCTCCCGCGGTGCGGAGCCGTTTTTGCAAGTTCCACATGGCCATCGCCTCCGATCACAGAGAAGCATGCCCGAGCTCTCGCGGGCGGCAGCAGGCTCACCGCCCGTGGCGCCGCTGGACGGCCCACCGGTAACCGCCGTCGCGACATTTGGGCCCGAGGCGAGTGCCGGCAAGAAAAACTTCATGCGGTCTGCTCTCAGTGAGGCACGCCACTTCGCCGGCGGACTGATCCCGCACCCGACCGAGTCGACCAAGCATTACACTATCCTGCGACACTCCCCTCCGCTGATCTTCTACCGGGGACCAAGCACTTCCGTCGCCATCACCATCTTTACCTCTCCTGATCGCGCCCTGCCCGCTGATCGCACCCTTTGGCTGCAGAAGCGCGGCTTCTCGGGCGACAGCGGCATGAAGATCAAGGCCCTCTTCAATGTCACCGACGACTGGCTGCATGTTACGCCGTCAACACAGGTTGATCCACACCAGCTATCCGCCGACACTGACCGCGCCTGGCAGAGAGACATTGCGAAAGCCGCAAGTAAGTTGCTGAAGGAAATGGGGCCAAAGAAAGCCCATGTCCCGCGGGAGACCCATGTCATCAAGATCCCCGAGGTTTCGGAAGACGGGTATTTCCGCCTGATCCTGTGCACTGGCAGGGGCACGCCGTACGGAACCAACGAAACGTCATCAAAGTGCAAGACCCTCTGTGCCAGCCCGATATTCCGCATTGCCAGCGCCTCGACAGACTCGAGCGTGTTTCGCGGTGCCTCCTTGAGCTCCCTGCCGCTCGAAATGGGCGTCTACGTAGCATCTGTGGTTGCTACGACCACGGCGGACAGGTATATCGCTCCAGTGCGGGACCCTGTCAAGGCTGTCATCGATAGAGTCCGCCCCGGCTTGATCACTGAAACGGTTGGCGGTCTTGTGACCGACGAGTTGAGCGAGCGGTCAGCCGAACGCGACGCAGAGCGGGACCAAGCCTTTTTCAGGACACACCAAGCCCACATCACACGGTCCCTCGAAGCAGACCCTAATGCCATTTACCCCATCGGACCGGACTCGGGCCCAGAACCGCCCTTCCCGCTGGAGTTTCAAGCCAAGGTTGTCCGGGGCACAGGCCGCAGCCAAGACGAACTCGGCACGCCCACCGCCAACCTCTCGGGCGTCCCAGACGAGATCCGGTACCGCCTCAGCGGCATCTACTTTGGTTGGGCCCGCGTCCAGCCCAAGGGCAAATACGAAGCCAACACCACCCCAGACTCATCCACCTTTCCCCTGCCACAATGGCACGAAACAATAATATCCATCTCCCCCGACCCCTCCTCTCCCCCGTCAGTAACCCTTAAACCCCTCGTAACAGCGCACCTCCTCAACCACCCCCCTTCCAACCCGCCGCTCCTCAACCAGACCCTCAACGTCTTGATCCTAGGCCTCCTGCGCCCCAACCCCCCTGCAACTCCAACCTCCTGCCGACCGCCTATTCCCCTCATCAACGAACGACTGGACACCGCGTCAAGAGACGCATGTCTCACGCTGGTCAGCCTGGCGCGCGAGAACTGGCGGCCCGATTCACCTGTCGTGACGACTGGGTTGTTGTTGGCGACGAGGCGGAGGGGGCCCAGCTCTTCTCTGAGAGAGCAGGCTGAAGTGGTCAAGGGGCGGGCCCTGGCGAGGGTGGTGGGCTCGGTGCCGTTGCATTGGGTGGGGGTTCGGAGAAGTGGGGATGCGGCGGAGGAGAGGGATCGGGTGTTGGGGGTTGGGGGGTATTGGGTTCCGAGGTGAGGTGGGTGAGCTTCTTCTTGTTGCAAGACGGAAGTGAATGTGTGTCTTTTCGAGAACTTGAGCGATGGATATGGGAGAGTAGGGTGAAGTTTCGGAGGAGTGATGGGGATCTGACTGGGGGTTAAGGGTTTTGGGTGCGATCATGTACTTGCTTGTTGTTGATACTTGTTGTAATGCTGTGGATAGGAAATGGTAGAAACTGAGCCCAGGTTTGATTCTTCGGCATTCTTGTAAGTCCGCCCCAAGATGATGAGCACAGGTACCGAAGCTTACTGGATGCAACGACAGTTGATAACCCGAAATCCAGATGTTTCGCTCTCGAGCTTCTAGTCAAGCAGCCGCTGCCTAACGGCGGCGGAACAGATGTGACTCGAAATCCGAACCCGACTGCCGGTGCAACGCCTCCATCGCCAGGGCATGGGGAGGCTTGCTTGCCTCTTGCTGGCAGCGGCCAGGAAGGCAGTGACCTCAGACACCTCACCGCCTCCCAAACAATATCACGGTTCTGCCATACCAGCATCGCTCGATAACTGTCAAAAGCCCGGGAGCAGCCGTTCTTCTGCACCTCGCTCGGCTTGGTTCCCACACTCGGCGCTACTCTGTTCTACGAATCTGCAGTGCCGGAACAGGCCATGGTTGATCCGGCTCGTCTTCCCGAGAAGAAACGTCAACGGCGAGATCGGACTCGAGAATCTGAAACCAACAACAGTCCTTCCACGGCCCCGGTTTGAGAACCAGCGGAAACCCGGTAAGCTACCCGTTCCCTGTCGCCTTGACAGCCTGGCGGTTTCCTAACTGAGCCTCCCGATACCGCCGATTGCCTTGGCGTGGTCTCTTGCAGAGCCAACCCTGGAAGCTCCCACCAAGTGACACGGAGCCAAAATTGGGACGGGGCGTCATCCGCCGATGGCCCGGTTTCTGGGACCGTTGCGCACCGTAGCGCACGGCAGTGCTATTCCGCATTACCGCACTAGATTATCCAGCATATTAACCGAACCGGCGCCCGCCAATCGCCCAGACTGCACCACCCTGTTTTGGAAGGCCTGACGCACCCCGGATCCTCCCTTGGGTGGTATTTATGTGGGGTGTCACGCCCCTTTCTGTCCACGGGGCTATCACCAGTTGCGCCGAGCGGCTTCAACCTGTGGGACTCAATCGAAGAGCTTGGAAATTGGAGGACTGGCTCAGGGTGCCGCAGGTAGTGGATGCTTCCAAAGGAGGATGGGATGCTCAGCGCCGTGCGCCGTCCTGGGGTTGCTGCCCGGGTGGGAAACCTGGAACCACGACAACGGGCCATATATAAAACACTCGATGGCCTCCTACGGCACACTGCTTACTTCCAAGCCAATCCATCCTCGACAACCTAGATCTTGCTTGCTTCCTCGCTTGCAGCCATGAAGTCGTTCACCATTGCCGCCCTGGCAGCCCTTTCGGGCCATGCCGCTGCCCACGCCACATTCCAACAACTCTGGGTTGACGGCGTGGACTACGGCTCGCAATGCGCTCGTCTTCCTGGGTCCAACTCCCCGGTCACCGATGTGTCTTCGACCGCCATCCGATGCAATGCCGGCTCCCGTGCCGCGAGAGCCAAATGCCCCGTCAGGGCCGGCGGTACCGTCACGGTCGAGATGCACCAGGTGCGCAGTCTTATCTCGTAGACTCTTTTCACATCCAATACCCATGAACTAACCCGCGGCCCAGCAAAACGGCGACCGCTCCTGCGCCAATGAAGCCATCGGCGGCGCCCACCACGGCCCGGTAATCGTCTACATGTCCAAGGTCTCGGACGCGTCCACGGCCGACGGCTCATCGGGCTGGTTCAAGGTCTTCCAGGACGGCTGGGCCAAGAACCCGTCGGGCCGGGTGGGCGACGATGACTTCTGGGGCACCAAGGACCTGAACAAGTGCTGCGGCAAGATGGACGTCAAGATCCCCGCCGACCTCGCCCCCGGCGACTACCTGCTCCGCGCCGAGGCCATCGCCCTGCACACGGCTGGCGGCTCGGGCGGCGCCCAGTTCTACATGACGTGCTACCAGCTGACCGTGACGGGCTCCGGCAGCGCCAGCCCGCCGACCGTCTCCTTCCCGGGCGCCTACCGCGCTTCGGACCCGGGCATCCTCGTCAACATCCACGGCGCCCTGTCCGGGTATACCGTCCCCGGTCCCAGCGTCTACGCCGGCGGTTCGACCAAGACGGCCGGCAGCGCCTGTACGGGCTGCGAGTCGACCTGCGCCGTAGGCTCGGGCCCAACCGCCACCCTGACACAGGCGCCCCCGACCTCGACCGCCACCTCCACCCCCGGCGGCGGCAACCCTGGCGGCTGCACCGCTGCCAAGTACCAGCAGTGCGGCGGCACGGGGTACACCGGGTGCACAAACTGCGCTGTAAGTTTGGCTTCTCCTCTCGTGCCTGAACAAGGGTTCTTTGTATGGTGGGGAATTAGGGATGCTAACATGGAATTGTGTTAGTCCGGCTCTACCTGCAGCGCTGTCTCTCCTCCGCACTACTCGCAGTGTCTCTAAGCGCCGGCAAGCACGGTGTATGATGGCGGACGGGATAATAGGGGTCGCTGCGTGCGGTGTCTCTCGAGGGCCGTGCTGGGGAGAAGAATTCTTGTATATAGTTGATCTTTGCCAAGTGCCAACTGTGAATACATCGTCCGTTGAACCGGACTGCATGCCTGCAACCTGGTGATTTTGTTGTGATGTTCAAGTTTCTGAGGCCGGCAGGCTGACCCTTCTGATTGAAGCTAGGTGAAAAGAGCACAGCCGCATCTTATTAGGCACAAACACCTGAACTCCGAGATGACCAAGATGTTACGTCCTGTAAAGCTGACGATATCACTGTGGATGAGTTCAAGTATGATTCCGAGCCAACGCATTCAACAGACATAGAGTCTAAAGAATTGTCAGTGATAAGGAAGATGTAGACTAATTCAATTATGATAAAGGTCTTCAACACTTCACAGGAGACACTCGCTTGTTGAGGCGTTGAAATCTCAATCATGAAGAGTGAGGTGGCTCGCAAGCAGGGTCTTGTTTATTTGCTTGAGTACTTATAAAGTTGTTCAGCATAAAATTACTACAATTGGCTCAATGGTCTAGTGGTATGATTCGCGCTTCGGGTTCCACCCTGACTTGAAAATAAGTCATGTGCGAGGTCTCGGGTTCGATCCCCGATTGAGCCCTCTTTGTTTTTGCTTTAGACCTCCCTGTCTTGCAGAGCCCAACTTGGGATTACAAACTTTTTGTGGTTTTGCGCGTCCTTTGCAAACGAAACTGAAACAGTAATGATCGGGCGAGAAGCCTTAGTCAAACCTTAAGCTGATGTCATGACAGGAAGCAATGGAACACCGTTAAACACCAATCATCCGTCCACCAGAATCATATATCAAGTCCTGTCCATGAGAACTCCTTACCTTAACCAGGGGCTCAGCCCCTCTACCATATCACGATAAAGCCGTCCAAAGAAACAGCCTTCCCTATCCCTGTCTGTCTCTCACCCTTCCCTATTCCCAAATCGTGAGAAAATTCCATCCTCATTTCCAGCCCCAATTCCGTAAACAAAACTTCATAATAACCGCCAAGGTATCTACAACTTCAAAGTCACTTCCGCGGCTCAATCCCCAAAATCTCATCAAACGTCGTTGCCCTTTTACGCGCCGGAACCCTGCCATCATCCTTTGCCCCATCTGCACCTCCATTATTAGGCCACCGGCCCGCCGTCACCGTTCCCTCAGCACCAGTTGAGGTCGGGCTACGCGCCAGCCTCGCATTTGTGCCATGTCTCTCTCCGATCTCACCGGCCTCGCCGTTGAGGGTCGCGCGGCGGGACACCTTCCCCGTGCTGCTGGACGAAGATGAGGACAGGAATCGGGCTAGGCGGGAGAGCGTTCCTGTGCGATTGAGCTTGGGGACCTTTCGGTTTTTGTTTGGGTAGGTGCCGTCGGAAATCAGACTGTCTCGGAGGGTGGTGCAATTGAGGGACTCAGAGTCGGCGTCGGTTGGGGGAAGGTCGGCCAGGGTCTTGGCGGGCACGAGGTGGTGGTGGGGCAGTGGGCTGGTGTTGTGGAGTTTGGCTCTGTCCGGAGAAGCAAGGGTGGTACGGATATCTTCCTTTTCGTCATCGTCGTCGAGTAGTGTATCGCCGCCGCCGTCAAGATCGGAATCGTCATCGTGGTCATGAAGGATGTAGGGCTGCTCGTCGCCCTCGACGTCGTCGGGGATGTGCACGCTCGGCAGCGGCGGGGTTGCCGATTTCACGCGATGCAATCGGCCGTATCGGCAGCCGGGCGCTCCCTCCCAGTAACTGCCGTCGCTGTCGCGGTATGTGTAGACTTGGGTGTCGGCGTCATAACCTACCCTGGTCATGCCTTCGGGGAGGCGACCCTCGTCACCGTCGAGATCCGACCACTTGCCCATGATGAATGAGAATTCGGGGAAGAGGTTTAGTGGATGTGGCTATAACAGGCGAGGTCCTGACACAACGGTTAATCACACGTTGGGTTGCTGGCGAGATGCACGGTATCGGGGCTGATGAAGGAAGTTGAGCAATCACCGAACGGCGTGCCGTGTATACCCGGCGTTTTGAAGGGTAACTGGGTGGCTAAGTATGTACCTTACTGAAAATCAAGCGGTCTCTTCTCGGTCTATGCACAAACAGTCTTTAGGTGGGACAGAAGGGCTGGGCGTTCCTTGAACCGACTGAGTGCTGTGCCACATGGTTAACAAGAGATTGACGCTGGAAATGTCACCAAAGAACGCTGGCCCAGAGAGTATTTGTTCTGTTGAGGGCTCTTGCCAGTCACGGTAGTCGGCTGTCGCATCCATGATGTTCAAGTCTTCAATCCTGAAACATTCCAAGTTCAATTCTGAGTCCACACTCCGAATTCTAACACGGCTCTCAACAGGCGTAAGGATGTTTAAGGTAACTTTCGAGCATATAGGTCTGAATTTCAAAACTGTTGACGAAATGGATTCGGACCGTGACTGAGGAGACTGCCTATACCGTATCTCAGAAAGTCCGCATTGCTTGCCAACGGGAAAGGCACCACACGGATTAACGAGCTTAGGGGACAATAACTGGCCAGATAACGACGATGTAGTATCTTGTTCCTTCAGTGCATTGAGACGGATTTTTTTTCTTTTTTTCACTCATTAAGCCATATTGAATCATCTTGCTTACTTGCGGTGAGTTTCTTGGTGGCATGTTTGCTGCTTCGGGGATAAAGGCACCCATTGAACATCGGTTACTGTGTAGTCTGCTAACAATATACAGGCGGGATTTGGCACAGAACGCTGATGATGTGCATTGAGTGAATTCATCCATAACCGTTGAAAAGCAGTCTCCACCCTAGAGAACAACAACAGACCAGACTTTATAAGGTACATCAGTGCCCAGGACGCCAGCACAAACATATCCTCACCCAGACATGGCCATATCCTCATCGACAAGGAGTGAACAGTCCGATATCCATCACAATATCCATTCCACCTGGGCTTTTCATCACTGATTACGCGGCATAAAGTTTTTAAGAAGATTCAGTTCGTCAACCTTCCTTGACGCATCTGCTATCGCCTGAACAACGGCCGCCCCATTTCCAGAAGACGATTTGTTGACAACGTCAGCCCGACTGGGCCAGTAACCAGTGGCGGAGGTGGGGTTCGGGATCTCACGACGACGAACACCATCTGAGTCTCCTTCACCAGGTTCGCGGCTCGGCCTCGGGGGGCTCAGCATGTCGAGGTGCGCGGCCGTGAATGATCGACGGATCCAGACCGTTGTCCTGCCTCTTTTCAACTCGAACAACCCAGACCAAGATGTCTTGGGCTTTGTACCATTCTTCGGCGTCGGCCACCTCCTTGAAGGTGATGCCGAAGTGCTTGGCCGAATCGAGGCGGATGCAGTACAGACTGGTCCCCAGTAGTATGGTATTCGGAAGGCCCAGCGCCCGCCGATACCTGTTGCCAGCGTTCCCAACGTACCCCAGCCATAGGCGCGGTCCCACTTGCTCGTGGTCCATGCTGATGGAGAGTCTGAGGATGACTGTCGAATTCATTCTATTTCAAGTAAAGAGTGTACTATTTCCTCGGCCGTCCTGTAATTGGAGAAAGATGTACGGTGTGAAACCTTGAAACTTTGATGCTGAAGAGTAGAGATGCTGAGTTTGACCAGTGGGACGAGAAGCTCGTTCCTCCTTACCTTAAGTACCTTAATCATGCATGTGTCCACCTCAAAGGTGCCAATGAGCCAGAGCCTTGTCCATCTCTGCCGAGTCTGCCGTGACACACAGCTCTGCTAGAATGTGCCTGCAGGAGCGCCCCGGGCGAGGACGCGAGGTTCTGCATTGAACGGCGGCGCAGGCTTCATTGATTGGGCAAGACCAATGAAGGTTAGCGCTGCCCATGATACTTGGTGTTCTTACCATTGGTCTGTCATGGTGGCTTAGCTTGGCCTGCCCAATAGTGTATGCAGCTCTCGTCAGTGAAATACATACGTATCAAGCGGCGTCTGGCTTATACTACCACCTGGCCGCTAAGTTGGAACAGACTCAGCCGCATCCGCATGGATGTGACATCACTGAAATCAAAGTGCCTTTAATCATGGTGTCCCGCATCGTACTTCGAAGCTGACGCCTCCGAGCCGGATGCGACCACGGTCACTCAGTCAACGAGACCTCAGACGGTGATCGGACTCAACACCGGAATTCTACCGGCTCCCATCACTATCAACGAAGTCCTACAACATGTCCAGTCGATTACCAGATGAAGAAGTCGGCGTCGTCCCGGCATCATCGGAGCAGGACACTGGGCCATCCAGCCGCCCATCCACCCGCACTGGCAGGAGCTCTCCTCCACCACCACATGACAACAACAATCTCCCTCATCCGTATTCCGTAGAAGCAGACGAAACCGCGCGTTCGTTCACAGGGAGGGTGTGGGACCACAATAACTCGGAACTTGACATTGAAAGCCCCGAGAATTGGATTTGGAAGAATTACGGGCAGTATCTCGTTACGAAAGTGAAGCCATGGCCGTTCAAATCCTCGAACCAAGGAGAAGAGAGCTTCGAAGTCAACCTCGCTGAGATACAACGCATGTACTTGGTACAGCTGCGGATAAGAATGGCTCGCCACATCGCACGGTGGGAACTGAGTGCCGGCAAGGAGCTGCGCACCAGCTGGAAACGACAGCGCAAGAAGATGGGGAATGACAATGATGATGATGATGGGATGGAGCCCGATGATTGTTGGAGACTGATCTGCGCAGATACGGTACGGCGCCTTATTTTCTTCTAGCTCATCAGACACATAAGAAGGGGCTAGACTTAACAAATATGGATAGTCCAGGGCTTGCAAGACTACGACTACATGGATAAGTGCAGCCAGACGTCGAGCAGTGACCCATTCCGCATGACCGGCGAATGGGCGCTAGATCAGTTGATTCTCGATATGGCATTCGGAGATGCGAGGAGTCGCCGTTTCGGCAGCATGCCGGTCAGAGATGTGCGGCAGTGGGACGCCCACATGGCCCCATTATTCCATCCCGAACTGACAACCGATACAAACGCCTCTTCAGTCGGCTCATGGTCTCGGCCATCGGGGCCGGCTTTCTCATCGGCCCCATGTGGCTAATGATGCTACGGGGTGAGCTGTACGTCGCCTTGATATCGACCACTGTGTTCGTCGCTGTCTTCGGGGCGCTTGCGGCTTTCTTCTTGGACAATCACGCACATGTCTCTCAAGCACGGCGGCTTATGCGGCGGTTTTGGTGGTCTTTGTCGGATTGACTAGCGAAGCAACCACTACGCAAGGCTAATCCAAATGTTCATGAATAGCTGCAACCCAGAAAATACAGCTCACCAGGCTGTCAAGACATCAGTCATCCCATTCCTCATCAAGCTGGTCAATCAGCCTGTTCTCGTCGTCCCTGCTCTCGCGCCTCCCGTTTGGGGACCCCGACAGCGTGTGATATCCTCTCCGTCTGGGAATGATCCTGGCACAAGAAGACGTCAAGATGACAAACAAGTCCTAGACAGGGAGAACAAGGTCAGCAAAAAAAAAAAGGCAATCAAAAGGGCTCCGTGGGTAAGGTATTGGAAACTCACCTTGACAAAACTCCAAATGCCCGACCACAGGCTATAGTTCGGCAGCTGTCTCCACCCACGAGCGTGCGCAACAGTCCGCTGGTAAAACACACCGCCCACGACGTAGACCAGGACAGTAATGAAGAAGATGATGGCAAAGACGCTCCCCGGCCCGACGCTGCCAGGCTTGTGCGGCTCAGCGCCGGCGCAGGCGTGCTGCGAGCGGACCTCGAAGAAGTAGGCGCACTCGTCCGGGTCGGTGCCGACAAAGGAGAAAGCCGTCGGCGTGTCCGGGTCGTGGTCGCAGAGGAACGAGATGGTGGCCGACTTGCGGCGGACCGGCTCGTCCTTTTGCCTGTCCTTGTCCTTCTTTCCGCCCTTGTCGTCCTCGTCGTCCTTGGACGTGCGTCTAGGCGCGTAGTAGTCACCTTCGTCCTCCCCATCGTCGTCGAAATCGTTGTACTTGTACCTCGCCCCTTCGTGGACGCCGGCGCGCTTGTCCCTGCTCTTGTCGGAGGCGCCGCATGGTGACCCGCCCGTGTATTGCAGAACAAGCTTGCGCCCCCGCGGGACAAGCGTCCCTGATTGCAGCCTGCGGCGTATGTCAGCATTCCAACCTGCTCGCGAGGGCATAGTATGAGTGGTGGCAATACCCTAGAGAATGGACCTTCCCCTTAGTCTCGTAGTATGCGCTGATGTTCTTCCACAGCGCCTTGTCCACCCCGACGACATCATCCACCCTCTTGACGACGGGATTGCAGATGTTGAGCGTAAAGTTCGAGCCGTAGTCCCAGCCCTTAGCAACATAGTCTTCTGTTGGCACGCCTTTCGGCGGCTTTTCGTCCTTTTGCACAACGACGGCGGCGTCTGGGCGCAAATCGAAGAATGCGCCGTTGGTGGATGTTGCGACGCAGGGTGTGATGGCAGGCGTAGAGCTGATTGTTGTCTTGGTGGCGTCATCGGCGACAGCTATGCTCGCGAGCGAAAGGATGGCGAGGAGCACAACCCGCGACGGACTTTGCAGATGCATACTGGTCTGGCGCTGGACAGCGTCGACAAATTGAGGGTGGATGTGGATGGCTTGGAACAAGGGATGGCCGAAACGCGCGGCGTCGCGCCAAGCGATGCGTCGAGCGGCGTGGTGGCTCTCATGCAACGGAGAGCGAGTACTATCGAATGGGTTACTGACGGGAATATACAGCTTGCTGTGCAACTTCGATGCGCGAGTGTCGAAGTCGTAGTATCTTGAATTTCAAAGATCTCGGATGATGTGGCTTCAGTCAGCGGTTCGAATGTCCTGCGCGGTCCTTGGCCAGCAGCGCAAGATGTGGGTTACTGGACTGTGATTGGCGGACCCGCATGCCAGCGGACCGTTGCCGTTTGCGCCAAAGATGCCGTGCATTTTTTGACTTCGAACAATCCAGGTCAACAAAACATCATCGTCCAATTGGCATCGTGGGGCCGTCAACGACTATCTGGCGTAATGAGCTGGACATTGAGAATACGTAAGGACAGTGAAACTTTCGTGAGAATGGCCAGGTCACGAACTTAGTAACGTACTAAGTAGTTATTTAACTACATGTTTTTAGATCGATGAGACTGCCAGTGGAGCGCACATGCCGGGTTGCCAAGACGCGCATGGCGGACCCATAAATGCTTCTAGCATCCTGCCAGTTGACATCAGGTCATCCGGGATCGTGGCAATCCGGCCAAACCCAAGCCAAACAAACCACTTGTCGGCGTCGAGCAAATCAGCCGATTGGAACGCGCGCTCTCCGGAGTGAGCTGCAGTGTGGGGAACAGTTCGCCCTTGCTGACTTTGCAGTCCGTCGATCAGCGGTCCCATCGAGGGCTAGGGATAAGAAGGCGCGCACTGCCAAACGAAGGTCCTGCAAGCTCTTGCTCCTGGTTGCAGTAACCATGGCGTCCAAACCCAAGCCGCAAGCTGTGTCCAGGACACATGGATACGAGTTTTTTGGCCCGTGAGTGTCTAACTCCTGCCTTTGTCTTCTATAGATTTCCTAGCTAACGTTCGTCAGACCCGGTGCTGCAGCCATCAGCTTCGGTCTCCCGTTGCTCATCTACGCCTTCACCTTCGCCTGCAACGACATTTCAGGCTGCCCCGCCCCATCAGTCCTCCACCCGAAGTCGCTCGATCTCGGTGTTCTCAAGCATGAGGTGGGATGGCCCGAGAATGGGATTCAGGGTTTCGTCAGCTGGAAAGCGACCGGCTACACATTGGCGTACTACTTGCTCAGCGCGATCCTCTACAGGATCCTGCCGGGAACTGAAGTTGAAGGAACCAAGTTGGCGAACGGTGGACGATTGAAATACAAGTTTAATGGTTAGCGAGACACCTCAGCGCGTCAAGGGAGTTGGCGCTAACCCGGACAGCCTTCTCCTCGACCATGTCTACCTTGGCCATTTGCGCCGCCGGTACCATTGCCCAGGGCGCCGACTTCCCTCTTTGGACCTTCATCACCGACAACTACCTGCAGATTCTGTCTGCCAACATCATCATCGCCTACGCCCTCGCGACCTACGTCTACATTGGCAGCTTCAGCGTTAAGCCGGGCAACCCGCAGTTCCGCGAGCTCGCCGCCGGCGGCGTCTCGGGCAATATGCTGTACGACTGGTTCATCGGCCGCGAGCTCAACCCGCGCGTCACCCTACCTTTTATTGGCGAGATCGACATCAAGGAGTGGATGGAAATTCGCCCGGGCCTGACGGGCTGGATCCTGCTCAATTGCGCCTTCGTGGCCAAGCAGTACCGCACCTTTGGCTTCGTCACCGACAGCATCATCTTCATCACGGTTGTCCAGGCGCTCTACGTTTTCGACGGCCAGTTCATGGAGCCCGCCATCCTAACCACCATCGACATCACCACCGACGGCTTCGGCCTGATGCTCTCGTTTGGCGACCTTGTCTGGGTGCCCTTCATCTACAGCCAGCAGACGCGCTACCTGTCGGTGCACCCGCAGTCGCTCGGGCCGCTCGGCCTCACCGTCGTCGGCGCCCTGCTCGCCGCGGGCTTCGCCATCTTCCGCCTGTCCAACAGCCAGAAGAACGCCTTCCGCACCAACCCCAACGACCCCAGCGTGCTCCACCTCAAGTACCTCGAGACCAAGGCTGGCACGCGCCTGCTCATCTCGGGATGGTGGGGCGTCGCGCGCCACATCAACTACCTCGGCGACTGGCTGCAGGCCTGGCCATATTGCCTGCCCACGGGGCTGGCAGGTTACACGATCCTGTCCGCCGGCACGCTGGCCCCGGACGCCATCAAGATGCTAGACGGCAGGGAGGTTGTGCCGGGCGAGGCGAGGGGTTGGGGCGTCATCTTTACCTACTTTTACTTGGTTTACTTTGCCGTCCTGCTCATCCATCGCGACAGGAGGGACGACGAGAAGTGCTCGAGGAAGTATGGCGAGGATTGGGAGAAGTACAAGAGGATTGTCAGGTGGCGGATTGTTCCGTATGTCTATTAATTGAGGAATGCATCGTAGGCAATTGCGTGTTTGATGATGGAGAGAAGATGGAGGAAAATGGGTTGGAGGAAACAGACACAATTGTGGGAAGGAGGATAGGACGTTTGATGTATCCGTATTATAGCTAGCCCTCTTCATTGAGTCAGCGACAGTTATGTGAATCTTATAATGGAAATGCCATCACTGTCATACCTAAGTTGCGCGTGCCCTTCACCGCTTACCCTTGGTCGTAGCATACCTTGTTCGGGGAGGCAAAATATCCAAATCAAGAAGGCGGTGGTTTTCAGTTGGGGTGGTTCTCAAGGTCTGGACACAGCGCAGCACGTGACCAGTTCAGAGTTGTGGGGCCAATGCTGCCGCCTGCTCCACGGTTCCTGACATCAAACACTCAGAAAAAGTCACGACCACGCGACGAACCGTCAATCACATTGCCAACTCCATTCTTCACATCAATCTCACCCATCCCGTTTACTCTTGATTCTAAGATTCTCAGCATGTCAGACGTTAACATTCAGTGAGTACACCTCATCTCCTGTGGACACATCCGACCGATTTTCAGTTTAGCTGACCTTTACCTTCAGGGCGCTTCTGCAGAAGCCACGTAACGAGTGCACGTGAGTCTTCAGTCTCCGTGAATCCCATTTTTCAATTTGGATGAAGCGCTAATCATATCACCTTGTGAACAGGGAGTATGAGATTGCTCAGCTGGTATGTCCCTTGCCACCTTTGAATGCAACTTTGATGCTTGGAGGGGGTGCTTGGTGTTGATTTTCCTGTGTGCAGGAACAATGGGAGATGAGCAACGGGCCTCTGTCGCTACTGCAGACGGCTGTGCGGAGTCACTCACAGGTGTTGATTAGCATTCGGTCGAATCGCAAGCTGTGAGTTTTCTATTGCCTGGGTGGCCTGGAAATGTTTTGAGTGGGAAGCTCTTCGGGGGCGGTACTGATTCTTTTTCTGATGTACAGGCTTGCGAGAGTCAAGGCTTTTGATCGCCACTGCAACATGTGAGTGTCCCCTGTTGCTCAAAGGTCTTCAGGACTGTTTTGCTGACTCTTTCCATAGGATCCTGGAGAACGTTGTGAGTACCAGGACCTGACATGCTTGGCAAAAACCTCGCTTTGGGTGTCCTAGGGCTAGGTTGTTGGCCAGCGAAGATGCTGACTCTTTGCCCACCAGAAAGAGATGTGGACTGAGACACCCGTGCACAACGGGAAGAAGGGCCGTCCCGTGAACAAGGACAGGTTCATTAGCAAGATGTTAGCTGCTCCTTGTCGTAATTTTTTCGGTCCCATGCTGACATCATCTGGTAGGTTCCTGCGAGGCGACAGCGTTATCATTGTGCTGCTGAGCTAGATATTGCGGGCTTCATCTGGGCCCTGACAGGATTCTTGAAGCACTCAAGAGTCCAGCTCGTAGCCAGGCCCCATGAGCAGTCCGCTTGGAGTTTGGGGCTATTCCTTGCCCAACAATCATGGGGGCATTGGCTAGGGAGATCTGCTTGACAGAAGAAAGAGGTTAGGCGTCCTTCGATTGGTGTTTTATCATGTACTGGGCTTTGCGGTTATACTGAACCGTCGCACTAATTAGACTGCTGGTTGTGATGAACAAAACTGAACGGCATTACATGTGCTTTCCGTGCATCTGCTTGTTATAATCGCCTCTTGAATTATCGCGACTATATCATGATTGCTGTTAAGCAAGCTAAGTTGATCACTGTTAATGCCAACTATTTCTTCAGAATCTAGCTGACTGACTAGCTGTGAAAGGTAGGATGTCTGGATCAGATATGCCATTCCCTTGCCCTCTATGGCTTAACCTCTTTAACCCCCCTCGTATTCATCGTTCATTTCACACTTACGACGACTTTCGTACCGTCGCCTTAAGGAGGCCTTGTGTGTTCAACTTCCAGTTCCCATTCCGTTCACCCGTCTCACCCCTTCACCCCGTCGTCCCTGTCATCCCAGTGTCAGCTGCCCGATCATTCGGAGCCTCTGGGTCCGGTGCCGCTGTCGACCCGTCTCCGTTCCAGACCGGCCTCAAGCCCTTCTGCACAGCACCCGCCGAAATTTCTAGGTTCGGAAGGTTCTCTGGCACCTCCGCTTTTCCTCTGGCGGGTCTTCGTGAATTCCATTTGCCTCTGCTGGCTCAACTTTTCTTGCGGTTGCTTGTGTTGTCTTCACCTCACCGAGGATGTTGGTTACGAATCGAGATCGTGGACTAGCTCATCCTCGATCACCTGGGCTCTTACCACAGCGAACATGTCCGACCAGCCTGGCCGCGAAGGTATGCAGGTAGCCGTCCGCACATGTGTTGGGCTCTACGATTCTGTTTGACAATTGTGTTTCGACTTGGAGTTGCTGACAGCCTACTAGAATACAATGGCCTTCCTGGTCCTGCTTGGGAACTGAAAGGTTTCGGTTCCGACGAAGATACAGTCATGGGAGAAGAGGCGCAGTACGATAATGGTTTACACACGGTCAACAACAGCCGTGTGAATACCTCGCATTCTCAAAGTCAGCAATCGACACAGTTTATCGCCCCGCTCCAAGGCCTCGTTCCCACCACGGCCATCATCAGCCGATGGTGCAAACTCGCTTCCAATTCTCTGAGAGGTCATTCAACGGGCTTCCCTACCTTCACCTAGCACCGATCCAAAGTTCCCAATTTGGACGAACAAGAAACGGACTTCCTCCGGTTCGGCAATCGCCCAGCCAACCCTCTACTCGCCTCAACCTGTCATTGGGCTATCCGCCGCCCACTCACGTGCCCAAACTACTTTTCGTGACACGAGAGTCAACGGACGCCGTTCAGCCTTTCAATCGCCGATCCAGCTTTCCCAATTCGGCAGAATTTCCCACGGACTGCCGTCTGCCCATTATTGGTCTGCAACATCGACGCGATCATTCCATCCTGGCAGAGGAATTAGGGAGTCCTTCTGTTCACCACCCGCCGTCCCAGACTGGCCCCGCTGAAATACCGACTCGCGGGCTTCCCATCTTTTTCGACCGGCCCAGTTCCCTCGTTGCCCGCATACGACCGATTCAACGCCCAGCCTGCCACCGCATCGGAAGGTGACGTCCCCATAATCCCCGCCGACCCCGATGAAGAGTCCCAAGCGCAATCTGATCCCACGGCGATCTATACAGATAGGCCGCATGTCGGCGGAATCAACTTGGCTCTGAACAACCTCACCGGGCGAGTCGAAGATGGAGAGCAGCATCGGCGTCCGGATGGAGGAGCAGCTGGACAACATTGCTCGTGCGCTCGAGGAGTTCAAGGAGCATCAAAGTAGGTGGTGTCATTTCTTCCCTGAATACCTGCTTCAGCCATTATAGATGGCTAATGGCGGCCCAGTTGCCGCTAGCAGAGCTCACCTGGCTCCCTGGGACAACCCTTGCTGCCAACGCCATTGAGAATAACGAGGCGATTCCTCCCCAGGGCGTGATCGACCGCATTAAGAAGCCCAGCAGATTTACGCTCGGCGGAGGGATGCCTGGCAGCCGCTCCCAGATTTCAGCCAAAAGATGGTCTCGATGACGGCGATCCGATGGACGACGGTGTTGACGTCCCCCGGCATGTCCTCTGCGCCCGCCCACAAGAGGCGTTCTCTGCCACAGAACAACGGCGGCATCGCGGCTGCCGACAAGAACCGCGCAAAGGGATCTCGTCCCAACACGGCGGGTGCTGGTGCGGAGGAGCACATCGTCCATTCGGACCCTCTGCCCTCCCCTGCGGCCGACCGCACCGGTTCCTTGCTGATGTGTCCGCGGGCTAATGCGCCGCCGATCGCTAAAGAGTCGAGCGGCCCCTCGGCTTTGGGCAATCGGGATGCTGCACCTCTTGCCAACAATGACGACGACGCGGGCGTCAAGGGGGCGCAGGAGTTTCTATCCTTCCTCAAAACCATGGATTGCAGTTCTGATGCTGCTCTGCTGCGATTGAGGGGCTACGTCGAGGGCCGGTTGTCCTTTGAGCTCGCTCTGTGCCTGAGCACGGAGATGGGCGGCCACGTGCAGTACTACCTCAAGGTGGGCGGGCAGCTGAGCACCATCATCGGCGCGGACCCCAAGGAGCGGCCGCAGCAGCCCAAGGCCGACGAGGAGCAGGCCGACAAGCTCAACATGGAGTGTGCCCTCGGCGAGAAGCGGATCCAGAGCGCGGCGACCATGCACCCCGACCACCAGCCCGTCTACCTGTCTGGCTATCTGATGCCTCTTGGCGAGGTGTTCGTCGCGCATCGGTTGTCCAAACAGCCGCAGGAGGTGGGGTCGACCAACTTCTTTGTCCTGATGGAGGCCGCCTCTGCCAAGAAGAGCTTGTGGATGGTGTGCCGGTACGAGAAGCTGGTGCGGCGCAAGGACGGCACCAACTGGGGCACGGTCGCGGGGGTAACCACCGGGAGTCCGTCTTCAAAGGTAGCCGTCGCCGTTTAGATACCGTCTGCTTGCTGGACGACATCAAAGAGTGGAGGAACCCCACCGAGGGCATGATTGACATGGGCCCTTTGGCCGAGGCACTGCCGGACGGCGGGAGCAACGTTCTCCAGCCTGTCTTCTACACCTCGGTGCTTACCTGCGGTTAGGGAGGCTATGAAGAAGGGCTGGGAGGGAGCGGTCGATAAGGAGGGGTAGGACGTTTGATTCCTACACATGGTGCCATTTTTGAGAGCTTTCTTCAGATACCGATCAGAATTGTAGGACTAGAAGACTGAGACTCAGATGGGACTCTCCTCGATACGTACAATACTATGGTCATTATCCCGGGCTTCGTAAGGCGGTAGAGTTGAGAAGATGGCATTCCACACTCTCCAGCATGATTTGTAATCACGGCCGTACCCAGCAGGTTGCCAGCAAGCAGGAACGACCCCGAAATACCTTACTTAGCCTGTATACGCAGGACTCCGTCATTTCTCCACGGACTCGGATCGCAGGGCCGGTTTTTGTCTCCTCTGCTCCAGTCGTCGTGGAAGCTTAAGTCCGAAAGACAGGAGCCAGCTGTGAACCATGAACGGGGACTGGGACAAGCTCGAAGCTGCGTGAATTTGATGCTATCTTCATCTCCTCGGCGACTCTAAAATGGTTGACGGTGGAGTGCATCTTGGAAAAGGCCCGATGCCATGCACAATTCAAAGTTACATCAGCGGCGAAACTTGGCTTTGGGACGGCGTCACGGCAGTTTTTCTTGGGGTGAGACAGGGCCAAGCACTGTGGAAGATGGTGGAGAACTTGCGGGGTGTGGGGAAAGCTGCAAGTTGAAGCTCATTAAAGAGTGTGGGGTAGGCAATTGTGACCTTCCTGACATGAAGGCCCTGGATTGAAACCATCAACGAGTGAGCTTTCTGGCCGGAAAGCGAGAAGGCTTTCCGGTTTTTGATGATGAGGCCCCAACGACGTGTTTTCGAGGCATTTGTGGTTGGGATCCAACGTCCTTGTTTGGCGAACGAAGCTCTCTTAACAGACGGAACTCAACGTTATTCCCACATGGCAATCTCCTCAATGTTGTTCCTCTTCCCACCTGGCGTATCTGGAAGATCCCATAAGAATCGTCTTTCTCTATTGACCATTCTACCGCACCGAGATCAACTGTCACTGGATGAGGCGCAAAGATGCCCAAGGGGCAACAGTCGACGCATAACTATCTCGATTTGGCAGGTTGAACTGCAATACAACCTTATCAACGTCTGCATTCATACCTGGTACCGCGTCATTGATGGTTCCCCGCCGGCGCTCCCTTCGCAGCCATGGCGACAAGCGGCAGGCGCTATCCGTCAGTTGTGGGTTGCGCACGTGGACGAACGAGGCGAGACCTTACCAATCGTTTATTCCAAGATTCTGGAAGACACCTTTCATCAGTGTGTCTGCAGTCAAAATGCAATTTGAGTCATGAAATCCACGTCGACTCCTCCAGGCCAAATTTCAAAGCACCACCCTGCATGTAAAAGCACCATAGGGACCACCAGCCACACCACCATTTTGGGAGTGAACATGTCAAAGTGCACCACACGCTCAATTCACTTGACTGCGCGCCCGGGCATTGCGATGCATCACCTTTTTGAGTCGATGTTATTTTGCCCACCTGTTCAATGGCTTCCGAGCCTCCCAAGTCGCCCCATTGAGCTTCAGCCACAGGGTTGGCGAAACAGTGGACCTGCAATTAGTGGGCCCCGACACGGAGGTGGGGTCCGGCATGGTGGTGGGGCCCGGTCGGTGTGGAACAAAAACCCACATAACTTCAAAACGGTTGAGCCAGAACCGCGCTTGAAAGCGAATTGCCCTAAGTAGTTTGCATGTGTTTTCGAGTCCCTTGGTGCAAAGGGATTGGTGGTTTTGGCTTCAAACTCTGACGGCTTGTGCAGGTGGACCCTAAGCCGAAAGGGGCACCAGTTTTAGTGCTTTTGAGTGTTGATGTGGGGGAGCTGCTTTTAAAAAAAACCCTCGTGACCAGGCGATGATCGTTCCCAATGTCCCTCCATTACCCCAGTGCCAAGCGCGCCAGGGACCTGCCCGGCTGCAGAATGACTTCAGCCTTTGCTTCTCGCCGACCCGATCGGCCCTTTTCTCATCACAGGTCCACGGGCACCCGAACTCAAGGACGCGATGCAACGCGGCTTACATCAGTCACTGCAGAGCAGCACAGAGCATCGCGTGTTCGGGAGCTCGTTGCTGCCTGGGACGAGACCCGCATGCATCACGACCCACCGCAGTTGAGCTTCCAACTTCGCGACCATGATTCTCGAGAGGGGACCGGGGAGGAGGCGCGTGGGGATCAACGCCGACGGCTGCTTCCGTAGCTGCCATCCAAGGATGTCATTCGGGGCCGATCGTCGTGGGCTCCTCTGGTAAACATGAACTGAAAAAATCTCGGCGCCTCTGGGGTGGCGGATATAATGGATGTCTCACCCGCATAACCCGCCCATCCGGCGATCTCTGCATCTCACCAGCTACGGGTCGTTGCAGACATTGTGCAAGGTGAACACAACCAGGTCTCGCCGCGCGGTCCAACATGAAGCCAGCCGCTGCTCTTGCTTGCCTGGCCAGCGGCACCCTTGCTGCTGCAGGCGCCCTCAACCCGTCAAGCAAGGTACGCTAATCCTGCATCTAACTGATATCCCTTTTCGTTTCCATCTTTCTCCCTCCCTCGGCGGCAGTGAATCCAGGGAGGGGTTGTACGCTGTTTATCGTTTCCTTATTTGATCCCAACACCCTGGATGTCGCTCGCATCTCGCTTTACAGGAATCTCTACCCGCAGCACCATCGTTTTTACCCAGATTGGCGGCTCTGTCGAGCGTTGCACTCCGCAGTCAGCATGAAATTAAAATCTGCAGCGCAGTGGCTGCTTGTGTCAACAGCGCGAGCTTCACTTGCTGACGACCACCAACAACAGCTCGGAAAGAGGGCCCTCGCGACATCCGAGCCCTTCTACCCATCGCCATGGATGAACCCGGACGCCGAGGGGTGGCAGGAGGCATATGCCAAGGCCAGGGACTTTGTCTCCCAGATGACTCTGTTGGAGAAGGTCAACCTGACCACTGGTGTAGGGTGAGTGCGCCAGCGGCTGCCACCAGGTGTGTACGGGGCGTGCTGACAGGAGCACGCAGTTGGGGAGGAGAGCAGTGCGTCGGCCAAGTGGGTGCGATCCCTCGCCTGGGTCTCCGTAGCCTGTGCATGCAGGACGCGCCGCTGGGTATCCGAGGAACCGACTACAACTCGGCATTTCCCTCGGGCCAGACTGCTGCAGCCACGTTTGACCGCGGCCTGATTTACAGGCGCGGCTACGCCATGGGCCAGGAGGCCAAGGGTAAGGGTGTCAATGTCCTCCTTGGACCGGTTGCCGGTCCCCTTGGGCGCATGCCTGCCGCTGGTCGAAACTGGGAAGGATTCTCTCCTGATCCCGTTCTTACCGGTGTCGGTATGTCCGAGTCAGTCAAGGGAATCCAGGATGCTGGCGTCATTGCCTGCGCGAAGCATTTCATTGGGAACGAACAAGGTGGGTCTTGCCATCGTGAATTTGTCTGGAGATATGCTAATAGCCGTCCAGAGCACTTCAGGCAAGTCGGGGAGGCCAGGGGGTACGGGTTCGACATCAAGGAGACTTTGTCCTCAAACATCGACGACAAGACCATGCACGAGCTCTACCTCTGGCCCTTTGCCGACGCTGTCCGTGCCGGCGTTGGCTCCGTCATGTGCTCGTACCAGCAGATCAACAACTCATACGGCTGCCAGAATTCTGCTGTTCTCAACCACCTGCTCAAGAACGAGCTTGGTTTCCAGGGCTTTGTCATGAGCGACTGGCAGGCTCAGCACACTGGCGCAGCCAGCGCCGTGGCCGGTCTTGACATGACCATGCCGGGCGACACCGAATTCAACACCGGTCTCAGTTTCTGGGGCACCAACCTCACCCTCGCTGTCCTCAACGGTACCGTCCCTGCTTACCGGGTCGATGACATGGCGATGCGCATCATGGCCGCCGTCTTCAAGGTCGGCCAGAGCACCAAGATGGATCCTATCAACTTCTCCTTCTTCGTTCAGGACACGTACGGTCCAATCCATGCTAGTGCGAACGAGGGCTACCAGCAGGTCAACTTCCATGTCGATGTCCGTGGCGACCACGGCAACCTCATCCGCGAGATTGCCGCCAAGGGAACGGTGCTGCTGAAGAACACCGGCTCGCTGCCCCTGAACAAGCCCAAGTTCATTGCCGTCATCGGCGAAGACGCCGGCCCGAATCCCAACGGACCCAACTCGTGCAACGATCGGGGATGCGATAGCGGCACACTGGCCATGGGCTGGGGTTCTGGCACGGCCAACTTCCCCTACCTGATTACTCCTGATGCTGCTCTCCAAGCCCAAGCCGTGAAGGATGGCTCGCGGTACGAGAGCATCCTCTCCAACTACGCCACTTCCCAGACGAAGGCTCTCGTGTCAAAGGACAATGTGACGGCCATCGTCTTTGTCAATGCCGATTCTGGCGAAGGCTACATCAACGTGGACGGGAACATGGGCGACCGGAAGAACTTGACGCTGTGGAAGGACGGCGATGCTTTGGTCAAGAACGTGTCCAGCTGGTGCTCCAACACCATCGTGGTCATCCACTCTGTCGGCCCGACCCTCTTGACCGACTGGTATGACAGCCCCAACGTCACCGCCATTCTTTGGGCTGGTCTCCCTGGCCAGGAATCGGGCAACGCTATCGTCGATGTTCTCTACGGCAAGGTCAACCCCGCAGCCCGCTCGCCCTTCACCTGGGGTGCGACGCGTGAAAGCTACGGCGCCGATGTGCTCTACAAGCCAAATAACGGAAACGGTGCCCCGCAGCAGGACTTCACCGAAGGGGTCTTCATCGATTATCGGTATTTCGACAAGGCCGACTCCCCGGTCATCTACGAGTTTGGCCACGGCCTCAGCTACACCACGTTTGAGTACAGCAATATCCGCGTTGAGAAATCCAACGCCGGCGAGTACAAACCCACCACCGGCGAGACCTTGGCGGCCCCCACCTTCGGCAACTTCTCGACCGACCTCAACGATTACCTATTCCCCTCGGACGAGTTCCCCTACATCTACCAGTACATCTACCCCTACCTCAACACCACCGACCCCGAGAAGGCCTCGGCCGACCCGCACTACGGCCAGACGGCCGAGGAATTCCTCCCTCCCCACGCGACCGACGCCTCGCCCCAGCCGCTGCTACGCTCGGCCGGCAAGAACGAGCCGGGAGGCAACCGGCAGCTGTACGACGTGCTGTACACGATCACCGCCGACATCAAGAACACGGGCCCCGTCGTCGGCGAGGAGGTGCCGCAGCTCTATGTCTCGCTGGGCGGGCCCGACGATCCCAAGGTGCAGCTACGCGATTTCGCCCGGCTGCGGATCGACCCCGGCCAGACGGTGCAGTTCCGCGGGACGCTGACGCGCAGGGACCTGAGTAATTGGGATACGGTGCTGCAGGATTGGGTGGTCAGTGGGTATGAGAAGAAGGCGTATGTTGGGAGGAGTAGCCGCAAGTTGGATTTGAGCGTTGTTTTGCCATGAGGGGCGCCGGCCGTTGGGGCGGCCGCCGTTTGGACGACGAATGGATGGGGTTGAGGGTAGTGGTGAGAGGGTGTCTGGGAGTTTGGTGGGCGTCGAAACGAGGGTGGTAGCTGAGGTGGCGCTATCCAAGCATAATGAGCTCGTAGGAGTCCTTAATCGGATTAATAACTTCCAGCATTTGTGAAGACTAGCGAGTACATGATCTGGTTTTGTAGGGAGATCTACATGAAGAAAGAAGAAATGAAAGTGAAGACCCGGTAGCTTGGCTTGTTTCCTTATTACCAGGTTCTGCGCTAAGTAAACAAAGGGTTGGCTTTGTTAGCATGTACATTACTGTAACTACCGCAGCATGGAGTATGTGGGGTAGCCTAATTCGTACGCCCGTCCATACCTACCCAAGCAACCCGCTTTGCCGCTCCCTCAAGTTGCCTGTTCTCTTTCAACCTAAATCCTAGCATACTTCAACAACGGGCATAAACATTTCGGCGCATCAAGTTGCAACACCATGATTTTCCCTCGTTGACTCGCCATATCGGGATCAGAATTGTCTAATCTTGTACTGCACAATTATATATGTTAACTCGGCCATTGCGCGCAACACGATCGCTCTTGTCATCACGCCTCATCTTTCATCAAATCACGCCCTGCCGCCAAACAACGCGGGAGTACCCCCAAGATATCGACCTCTTTACGTGAATTGGCTCCTTACCGGTGGCAACCTTTCCACAGAAAAGCTGGCTGATAAGTTGACGCGGTGCGCTGCCATTGGAGAAAATTTCAGCCGCAGAAACGAAAGAAACACGAAGACTCGAACTTGGCTTGGGAATGTACAGCTGTCGCCATCAAACATATATCAAGTCTCACAGTGCAAACTCAGCCAAAAGAATCGAGGGCAAGCTAGCAACAAACCCCGGATCAGCTTGTGCTGACGACCCTGGGATATCTCGGACGATCCGAAACATTAACTCGTCATGCTAAGCAACAGTCCTGCCGTGGGCTCCCTGCCCTTGGAGCAGCAACCCCCATCTTTACAACCGCAGGTGGCCAACCGGGACGATGAATATGCTTTTCCACGCCAGCAGCTTGGGAGACGCGCACCAATACCCGGTCCGCCATCTCAGCCAAGCCATGAACAACAGCTGCAATATGGCCTGAACACCCCCCGCCCACCGCTATCACCGTTGTCAGAGTATCACAGTGGCTTTTCCGAGGAAGACGTTGGTTCCGCTTGTCCATCCCTGCCGCCCTTCAGCATAGCCAACCATCAGCGACAGCATTCGTTTCCCAATTTGCTGCCGCTGGCCTTCAGAAGCAGGACGCCGTCGCCAACGAGGAAGACTCATACCCGCTCTGGCTCGGAGCAGATGCCATACACCGGCGACGAGAGGAGCAGCCGGAGGATGACGGCAGAGAGCACGCGGGGAGGAGGCGGAGGACTCGGTAGCTGGTTGAGCGGCAACTCAGCGGCGGCCAAAGCCCTAGTCTTCTCCCACACCTCCGCCGACGGTTACGCCACCACACCAGACGGCACACCCACCCGCCGGCGCAACCCACCTGGGCCCGGTAGCACCGTCTCAGACGTTACCAACCCCAAGAGCACCATTACCACAGCCTCCCGCTTCATGTCGGCCCTCTCCTACCGCTTCAACCCCGCGACGCCCACCAGCCCATCCCTTACCAACGCCAACACGACCACCACCAACGATGACGAATTCTCCAACCTCAACATTGAAGCCGCACTCTTCTCCCAATCCCCTTCCTCCCCATCCCCATCCTCCCCTCGCGACGCTTTCTCCCCATCAGCCTTCAAAAATCTCTACATGAACGCCGTCGGCCTGCTCACGCGCATGCAAGCCGCCCACCGCGAGCAGGCGTGCGCCCTGCGCGAGCTCAGGGCCGAGCGGTCAGCGCAGCAGGAGGAGCTCGAGGAGGCGGTCACGCGCGCAAGCCATCTCAAGATGCAGCTCGAGGGGATGGCGCGGCGGGCACAGGAGCAGGAGGGGGTGGTGACTCGGTTGGTGGAGGAGTTGGCGGCGGAGAGGAGGGCTAGGGCCAAGGAAGAGACGCAGGCTGCGCGGGTTGCGGGTGCGGGTGTGACTTCGGAAAGGGCGTCGATGGTGTCGGAGGATTTGGGCGTTGATGAGGATCGGGATCGGGTGAGGAGGAGCGGGAAAAGGAGTAGTGGTTGGAGAGGGAGCAGCTCGGGTCTTGTCGAGGACGAGGAGACGGACTTTGAGGATGAGGATGAGAGTGCCGAGAGCGAGAGTGTGTTTTCGAGGTGTCGCAGTCCGGCGTTGCCGTCTGCGCATGCTGTCTCTGGGTCGTCGGATGGGGCATCATCAGTGACCGGGTTGAGGTTGGATGGGGTTGGAACGACGAGTGTGAGAGCTACTGCTGGGAACGGCTCGGCGGTGAACGTCACACCGAAACGAAGATCGGGACAGCAGATGAGCGCTTTCCAGAAGATATTGAAGGGCATCTCGGGTGAGTCAGTCGAGGCCGTGGGGTGTCCCAACTGCAAGGGGCAGGATGCGAGTGTCGCGTGGGATACGGTTGGCTTGCTGAGGGATGAGAATAGGCATCTGAAGAGGCGGGTTGGAGAGCTCGAAGTTGCCGTGGAGAGCGCATTGGATTTGGTCAACGGCATTGGATTGTAAGGGGTGTCAGCTGGGAGGGTCCAGCCCTGGTTTGTTTGCTAGCGCAGAACTTGGTAAGAGCCAAGTCTTCACAAACAAACCAAGGCTGGGTTGTAAACGGGTATCGACTCGAAACCGAGCTGCCGCAGATCCCCAGTTTGCACCAGCTTTGAGTGTCACCTTGTCTCCGAAGCCATCACAAGGCTCTAGTCCTCTCTCAAAAGGAGACCTGCCTTAAAATGTACAATGCTATTCCATCCCGCGCGCACAGCTCACGCAACGGGGGTGATGTATGCTTCTTGCTTGTCGCCCATTCCCCACGGTATCAGCGATTCCGTCTGCCTCCGAACCGAGTTTCTGTCCCGCCTCTCCATCCGTACACACAGACAACCCCCCGCGCCGTGTCTCAACTGGATCGTGCCCAGTCCAACTGAAATCACCCAGTCCAGGCCAACCCCTCCTCTCCCGTCCTCTCCCCGCTACTCAGTTACTTCCACTCAGTGGGCTCCGATGCCGTGATGGCCATGGCGGTTGTCAAGGAAGAAGTGCTCGTAGATGCAGTAACCGGCAAAGGCGACTGTCGCAATGCCGAGGCCCGGGAACGCGTTCTTGAACCGGTTGAAACGGCTGAAGCGGCCTGTGTAGCGCCACGCCTCACTACGTCATGTCAGGTATCCATATCAGACCATGTTATCTGGGTATCGCGGGAGTGCGATCGAAGGGTGAGACAGGGAGATAGAGAAAAACGCACTTCCTCTCCCAAGGATCGTAGCGGTGGTTGCCGGTGGCGGCGAGAAACTTGCGCATATCGAAGCCCGTGATGTTGGGCTTCGGCTCGCCGTTAGAACGTAGTATTCTGGACGGCAGGACGTTAGTCTGGCAGAGTACTCGCAAGAGAGATACGGAATGTCAATCGCACCTTGAAGGCTGCATTGTGGCGCTGGCAATCGCTCGTCGGAGTCGGGCTGCTCAGCAGGAGAGCGAGGTCAACAATGGTAGGACAGGCACCAATGCAGTCACCAGTCCGGCAGTGGAGTGGTTGAGCTAAGGTTCTGGCTGCGGGTTGCCAAGCCGCTTAGTCAAGTCAAAAACGGCCCGTGCACCAATGCGCCCTGTGCCTCCCACCTTAGTATTCCAACATGACCTTTGGTGTTTCGTTCGCGGCATGAACGAACCTGCCGCCGCCTTCGCTTCTGCGTCCCCGCGAACCTGATACCCGTGAACCTCAGCATATAAAACTCTGGCCTGGCCACCTGGAATTTAATTCTCGACACGCCAAACACGACACGTCAATTTAGATCGACCTGCATTTTCTAGACCACATTCGACAGCCCAGCCGAACCCGAGTCGCAATTTCAGTCTCAAGCAAACCCGACACGGCCTGGTCTCGCCCTCATCACAGCGTCGCCCGCCGCCTGAATCAAACCGACCCCGCAGAGAAGGGACGGTAATGGTCCCTTCACGACCTAAATCAGACACGGCTCTCAGGATACGGCCTTCACCATAGGTTAAAAGTAGAGGCAATCGAGACCACAGGCGCCGCCGCCACCACGCGATGCCTCCGCCGCTCAACCGGTTCCCCAACGGGCCCACCGCCATCTCTCCCTACCACCAGCAGTTTCCCTCCCATCCCCAGCACGCGGCCACCCATGCGCCGCCCATGGGCGCCACCACCGCGGCCTACCTCAACGCCCAAGTCGGCCACGTAAACCCCTTCTCGGCGAACAGCAACCTATTAGGCCTGGGCGGGGGCCTCACTGCCGCCGCCAACCTGGGGTTCGGCGCCGACTCCGGCCTCGCGAGCCACGCCGCCCGCATGGGCTTCACGCACGCCGGCAACCTGCAGCAACAACAGCAATCCCAGCAGCAGGCCCTGCAACAGCAGCAACCATCGCAGCACGTCCAACACGCCCCGCCCGTCCAGCACCCACAACATGCATCGCAACAAGGGCATAGCCTGGCTGAGCACGCGACACGGGTCGCGCAGAAGGGACGGATAAGGGAGGTGTGGAAGCACAACCTGCACGAGGAAATGGCGAACCTGCGCGACCTGGTTGACAGGTATCCGTACATTGCTATGGTGGGTTGATTCGTGAACAGATAGGGTTGGAAAAGGGAAAGCCAGGGCTGACTTTGACAGGACACCGAATTCCCCGGCGTTGTGGCGAGGCCAATGGGAGGGTTTCGAGGAAAGAGCGACTACCACTACCAATGTCTGCGGGCCAACGTGGACTTGTTGAAAGTGATACAAATCGGCATCGCCCTCTTTAACGAAGACGGCGAACAACCCCCGGCCCGTCCCAGCTCGACTGACTCGGCAGAGTTGCGGAGGACAGGAAACCAGGCGCCGCTGCCGTACGCCTGGCAGTTCAACTTCAAATTCTCGCTTAAGGACGAGATGTATAACCAGACATCGATCGAGTCGTTACAGCAGGCGGGCATCGACTTTGCGCTGCTGGAACGCGACGGCATCGACCCGCATGAGTTTGCGTCCCTCCTGATCCCGTCAGGCCTCGTTTGCTTCGACGACGTCCGCTGGATTAGTTTCCACGGCGGCTACGACTTTGGCTATCTGACCAAGCTCCTCATCTGCCGCCCGCTGCCCTGCGACGAGGTCGAGTTCGACCAGCTCATGAAGCTGTATTTCCCCTCGACGTATGACGTTAAGCACCTCATGAAGCACGCCATCAAGCTACACAACAGCGGCATGCTCACCCCCATCGACCCCAGCGCCATCGAGATCATGCAAAAGTTTGAGCAAAAGTCCGGGCTCGAGCACATCGCCGAGACGCTCAAGCTCAAGCGCGTCGGCAGCGCCCACCAGGCCGGCTCCGACAGCCTGCTGACGGGCCGAGTCTTCTTCGAGCTGCGCAAGCGCATCTTCAACGGCGACATCTCCGACGACCATCTCGGTAAGGTCTGGGGTCTCGGCATCCCCGATTTCTCGATTGGCGGTGCCGGCATTACCGTCACCAACAACAATCCCAATACGAGTGCCGGTGCCGGTGCTGCTGGCGGGAACAGCCACGTCGAAAACACACCGCCAAGCCACCACCACCCCCATCACCATCACCACGCTCACCACCCGAACGGCACCCTCCAAAACGGCGGCGGCGGCACCCCGAGCACTCCCAACACGGGCAGCGTCGGGCTCGTCGGCACACCGGTTGGCTCGCAGAATACCAACGGCACCACGGGCACGACTACATCGTCGAATACCGGCGGCCCTCCTGGGCTGGGCGGTCCCATGACGCCTGGCGGGGGCGGGGGGGTCTTTGGGGCGTTTGCTTTTGGCGGGAATGCGCGGTAGAATAGAAAAAGGTGCAAATTGAATGAAATCATTCACAACAACACGACTGGGCGGATCGGTTTCTTTCTTCTTCTGTTGTTCTGCGTTAGGTTTGTTCTTCTTTCATCAGCAAATCAATGGGATCGGATATAACGTTCCGTTGTCGAAGCGTGTGGTGTGTAACTGTATCGGGTTGCAGTGAGTGAAGTAAACTCCTGGCTGAATAGGATGGAACCGACTGTTGAACGGATAACGGGACTGGCGGTAAACTGGTGCCTGGTGCGTAACTGTGTCTGGTTGGGCATTTGTTCCCCCTTTTTTCTTTTGGCAGGTGGTGCGGTAAGGGGTGGCTGGTATGTAGTTTTCTGCCTCTTCCACTTCAAGTTGACATAACGTACTGTACATTAACAGCGAGTGACCCATATCACCCATATCACCGTGACCCACGTCCCACTACCATCTCACAACTATGCTCAATTAGAATACATCCATAGGAGGACCTAAATACAATTGCATTGGAGATAGCTGAGTCCGATATTCTGCAGCCTTCTAGCAGGTACGTGTATTATAAAGTGGGGTTCCAAAAGTCTGTTACCATCCCATCCTGAATCCCCAACCACTCAAATTACCCAGCGCTGGTACTTCTGACTTAACAAATCATAACTTAATATACAAAAATCCA